CTTTCTGATCTTCAGTGTCATCCACTAAGGACTTCTACTCCTCAGAGCAGCCTGACTTCCTTGGGAGATATGTAAAGTGAGTATTCCATGTCTGAACATTCCTGCTTCTTGGTATTTGAATTGAAATTCGGTTCCTCCTGCAACACCATTGAGAGGGGGTATTAAGAGGTAATGGAGGTTGTGAGGACTCTTGCTTTCACAGATAGGATGAACTCCTATGGAGGATCTGGAGAGAACCAAAGTACTCCCATTTTGCCTCTGAGCCTCCCCAACCTATGTGAAGATACAGAGTCAGTCCCCTTCAGAGAAAGCAGCATAAGTTGCTATGTCAGAAGTAGAGAAGGTCCATCACCATTTAACCAGGGCCTTTTAGTTTTCTCTTCTAAAAAATAAAGTAAAATAACTTTTTTAATTTTTAAAAAGAATTTAATCAAGAGACAATAGAGAGTTTAAATGGAAGTATATTTACCAAAGCAAAACAAAGCAGACACTCCAAAGAGAGATTGGAATGGGCTGATCCAGAACTTGAGGATTCAGTGTTATATATTTTAAAGGTTTTATGAATATGAATGTGACTATTGTGTGAATATTTATGAGGCAGGTGGCACACTCACAGGGTAAGATGACCCCTTTGCCCTTCCTAAATCAAGACAGACCAGACCTCCCTTTTAGGGGATTTCTTTCTACAATCTCTTCAAATGGGAGGAGCCAAAACCACAGGGAAAGTGATATTAAGACATTGTGAAGGGGTTTGAGGATGCAGAGGTTTCCATTGCATAAGCATAGGAGATTACCATGGTGTATTAGTTTCTGATACAGTGGGAAAAACCTAACTTCATCTTTAGATTATTTAACTATAAATAGTCATTCTGAATATTAGTGATCACAGTTACTAAAAGGCAACTGCAGTTTTCCTATTGCCTCATATTTAACTCCATGCCTGCATGGTATCAGTCAAACACAGCACCTTAGACTTCCCAGCTTCTAAAATTGTGAGGAATGAATTCCCCAGCCTAAGGTGTTTTGCTATAGTAGAATTGACTACAATAGCTACAATTCGAGGAAGGGTTAATTGTTCCATCTGGCTATTGAAGTCATCCTGGCAGTAGGTAGAAAAAAAGAAGAGAATGAATTAAGATAGCAAGTCTACTATCATAACAGCCACCTCACTCTGTTGGGACAAAGGCTCAAAATAGGCTACAAATGGTTTTCAGATGGTCTCACCCTGCATTCTCTTTTTGAGTAAATGCTTTGACTATGTGCTGTCCTCAGCTGATGGCATCCCTGAAAGATGACCTTAGCTTTGACACATGTGATATAATTGAACACAAAGTGGGAAAGTCAGTCTTGCCCAGAGTGGTCCCCAATAGATGCTGGGATGCAGCTGCCATCCAGCAGATGACTACCATTTGGCCCATGTCATGGAAGAGCTTCATCTGCACCATCAGCTACTATCTGCCATGCACTTTTACATCTTCTGAAGTGTTGTCTCTTTCCCAGGACAAGTTCTAGCTCAATAAGAGGAGCATCCATCCTAATTTTCAAAGCAGGAACTGAAGGTCTAAATGGTAACCCCAACAGCCTGAGAACATTATCTAGGAAGCTATAGGGCTGGACTTTATACTCTGTTTTCTCTGAGTTTATCTTCCCTCTGAGAGGATATAGAAAAAGCAGAGGCCCTTCATCTCTGGATTGTTTTAAATGCCGTTTATGTTCTGCTTCTACATGTCCTAAGCATTAGGAAGCCCTTGCAAGTCACTGAACTTACCTTCACAGCATCCTCACAATTTCCAAGTCACAAATGACAGCTCCTGCTTGGTTGCCATGTTCTTTTCCTAGCTTCTACACTATACCATAAGCTTTACTGGAGAAGCGATTTTGTAAGTATCTGTCCTTGTACCAAGCACTGTTTTGAATATATGGAGGTGTTTAATGAGAACTCATCCACCAACAGACTTAAAAATAAATAATGAAGAAAATAACAGCTCTCATTGGCTCTGTGAAAACGGGAATACACTTTCTGAGCATCTATTTCACTGCTAAAAAAAAATAATAACTATCATATCTACTTTGCAGAACTATTGGGAGATATAGAAATAAGCATATGAGGTATATTGTTCAGTGCCTGGTGCACTTGAGATGCTTCAGAAGCAGGAAATATAACTTTACAATGTAAAGTCTCAAACATTGCCCACACCTCCACCTTCAAGAAAATGACTGCTGTGCTGATAGGATGTGTGGCATCTCTAGCACTTTACAGTGATGAGAAGTCCCTTAGAGCTATTTTCTGAATGGTGAGAGTAGAACTGGCAGTCTGTCCTCTCACCAAGCCACATTCCTCCATATATATCTCTGTGACATCCCTGTCCCCTGGTCCCCCAACAGAGAAGCAGGCAAAGCAGAGAGAACTGAGTGCATAAGAGCCTTTGATTGTCAAGGAATATGCAAATGAATTATTTGTTGTAATTGTTCTGATGCTGACCCTCAAGATCTGGTTACTCCCTGGATATACCTGTCCTTGTTGTATAAACCTAACTAAGACATATCTGATTAGTTGATTAAACAGACTGAACCTGGGAAGGACAGAGTAGGATAGGGGGACTAAGATTCCTGGGCTTTGGAGTTCAAGAGAATCATGGGAAAAAGAGGTAGAGGGGAAGAAGGGAAGAAGGAGAATGCCATGATGAGTTAGCATGGAGAAGGAACCATGTGGGCTGGGAGGAAGGACTCCAAAGATGGCGTGAATAGAGAAAACAACAAGATGAAAAATATAAGCAAGTATCTTGGGATCATGGATGGAAGGTAGACCACATGGTTAAGGAGGACGGCATTGGATGGGGGCTGGGATGTGAATGATGAGGTTATTGAGAGAATGAGGGTAGAAATATCTGCCTGACTCAAGGTGAATAAGGCAATTACAAAATCTAACATGTGTCTGTGTCTTATTATTTGTGATAGTGGGTTAAATAATACCACCACAATAATTATAGGGCAAATAATAATAAATATTGTATAGCCCAACACTCATTTTTTAAAATAACTATAACAATTTTTTTTTTACTTTTTATTGGTTTGTTGTGAATCATGCACCCAAATCACACTCATCTCTCTCTTCTCATACTTGCCCTCCACCCTTTCCTCCTTCCCACCAGCAGAGAAAATAATTTCATTGTAGAAGCTGTAGTGTGTCACAATGTTTCCCACAGTATATACCCTTTTGTCTATACTTACTTGCTTGCAAATGTTCACTGCAATGACTCATTGGTCTGTTGCCAGGACTCTGGCTTTTGCCAATCTATTGATACTGGAACCTCACTGGGACTCCTCTTGGATATCCGGTTGTTGCCCTGTGTCATGGATATCCTGTAGTTTTGGATCTGTAGGACCAGATTCTTTATTCACTCCAGCAGTCCATTGATGAGGTAGATGTTTGGGTGGGCCAACTCAAAGCCCTGGATCTGGGCCTGGTAAGCATCTGAGTTGGTCAGCTTTCTCTCTGGCTCTCACAACCCCAAGCCCAGCTTATTGGCAACCCCTGCTGCCTAGGTGAAGTGCACGGCCCACTCTCCCTAGTATTGCTGCCAGTAAGGGGCAGGGGCATTTCTCCCATCCACCCTGATGACCGCAGGGCCAGCTCTCTGCCTGCCATAGGTGGCAAAAGCGGAGAGAAGGGAGGGCATCTCTCTCTCCTCCTAGCCACAGCATAACAGACAAGGAGCAGGGCCAGCTTTCCCACACCCTCAGGTCAGGCTCACCTGCAATGCTCACAACCAGGGCCAGCTATACTATGCTGCTCAGGAGAAGCACAGGGCCCACTCTCCCAAGTTCTGCAATTGGTGAGCAGCAGAGACAGCTCTCCGATCTCATGATGGCAGGACCAGCTCTCCTACCTGCCACAGGTAGAGAAGGAGAAGGAGAGAAGAGGGTATCTCTCCCTCACCCATGCCACCAAACTGGAAACCAGTGACAGGGCCAACTCTACCTTGCTCACACCCTAGGGGAGCCTCACCCACAATTTCCACAGTGTACTAGGCCACTCTTCTGAGTACTAGTACTGCTACTGGCTAGAAGCAGGATCAGGTCTTCTGCTCTGATGCCCAGCCCCCACTCTGAGCCAGCTCTCCCTTGATGCCCAGGTTAGGGGTGGGTCCAGTTCTGCACAGTCCTCAGACATTAATATTCCCACACAGCAGCCCAGACCAGAGACATCCACCTAGCCTTTGGTGGTAACTGACCCCCTGCTGTTTCAGGTCCACAGATCCAGATGTGGCCCCTGGTAGCAGCACAGAAAAGGACCCCAGCATGGTCCCAGATGGCATCAGAAGCTACTTACACTAGACTATTTTTCACTACCCTTTATTCTACTTTCTGCCTCTCCTCAGTATGCCCACATTCTTTTTTTTCCCTTTCTCTTCCATTTCTCCACCACTTCCTTGCTCCTCTTAGTGGCCTAGAGTCTCTGAGTGTCTAGGGTCATCTTAGCATGGGAGGAGAAGAGGGAGGGAGGACAGGATTGGGAGAGGATGAGGAAGGGGGCTACAGCTAGGGTACAAGTGAATAAACTGTAATAAATTTTAAAAAATTAAAAAGAGAGTGGTCTCAGAAATGCTAATCCCTGCTCATCTATTATGATCCCAGACAGGGTCATCTTGGGCATGGTCTACTCATCCCACGCCCAGATCCTCAAGGCACCAGTCTGGTGGTCATTTCAGGCTACCTTCCTGTCTGAGCCCACAGCACCAGTCTGGTGGTCATCTTAGGCTCACTCCTCACCCAGGAGCCCCTGAATGGTCCCATGTGAGGATTGTCTGTCTACAAGTCACTCCTACCTAGGGACCAATAATCCCAGGCAGGATTCTTCTAGTCTCCAGCCTGTTCCCAGCCTTGGGCACCTATCTAGTCCTGCGAACACCTGACCAGTAATTGTATCAAGCTAGTTCTCTGACTGGGCCTCCTTGAGCCAGACTGGTAGTCACCACAAGCTCACTTTTTTTTCAGGGAGTGTTAGGCTACTAATCACTCAGCTGTTCACAGATTAAAACATTGAGCTTAGGCATAGGCTCTTTCCTCCTTGACACCTAATGACACACATGTGACACAGAAGCCATACCTGCAACAGCCCCAGGGGCAAGTGAAATGAATTCTTTAAAGCTCCAACAGTCTGATAAATCAACTCTATGTCTCTGGAACCCCAGGAACAGACCTTCAACCTGCTGAGCATCCTTACATAAACTACTCTGCATTTCTGGGCTCATTTTACCATCTGTACAAAGAAGGAAATGATGCCCAATTGCACATGAGACAGAGTAAAGAATGACAATCATCACCAGTGATGGGGAATGTTGTGTCATGTACTGTGCTAAGTATGTAGCCTTGGCACACCTTTTAAACAATTCTACTAAAACCAAATTATCATCCTTTTGTGGAGAAAATATGGACCCAGAAAAGTTAAGAAACATTCTGAGGTGGTAAACCAGCAAATAAGCAGACGAAGGACCTAAACCAAAAATCTTCACCAGTAGGCTATCCTGTCCTCATTCATTGTTTTGCCCTCAATTGTCTAGAACAGTATTCGACACATAACAGTTGCTCAATAAATGACTGTTGAGTTAGTCAATTCATAATGAGTACTAATCAAGAAATAAATGTTTACTTTGTCAATTCCTTGTGTGGGCTAAACATATACTGTGTTCAAGGAGACAAGCTACCAGCATCAGCATTCTACCAATACCTGGACATAATGTCATTCTCAACAACCTGAACTTCAGAGCTGCTCAGTGTCCCAGTGTTCAATGAGGTCTTCTTTTACCTGTCGTTTTCTTTTCAGTCCTATTTTTACCCAAACTAGTCTCCCAGATGTGTGCAAAGAACCAGTGAGTCTTTTAATTAAAAGAGTCTTCTATGATGAATCTGTTATTACAGAGCTTTACCTGTGTAAAACATTAATAATACAAATTTCATTTGTTTATGTCAGTGCCAAGCATTAATTTTTAATAGCAAAATGTATGAGTTATGAAAGGCATTAATGCAAACCAAATCACCAGGCGAAGATGAAAAGGAAATCTATTTTTTAGGGTAAGCAGTTGCGATAAAATATTATTGTGGCTTCCAAGCAAAGAGGAAGGGAAAAATTATTTCTTTATCTGTCAGCAACAATTAAAAAAAGAGACCCAGATGAAGGGAGAATTTTATCTTCACCTTCACATCAGCTCGAAGTCAGAGCTGAGCTGTCCCTTTCATCCCTCCTGCTCTCTGGTGGCAATTTCAAAGCAAGAAGTTAACGCAAAATTGCTCTAATTGCCTGCCCTAGTCATATTAATACTTACAGAATAAAATATTAAAAATCATTTTTTACATTTGTACAGAAAGATACAGTTTACAGAGACTTTTTGTCCATTTACACAGCAGGGCCCTGTAAGTCCCCAGGAGAGGGGAGGTGAGCCCCACTTCACAGAAGAGCTCACTGAGGCACCAAAGGGCTAAGTGGGTTTGTGGAAGCACCTAGTCAATAAATACAAGAGAATAGTAAGTCCAGAGGTCCAGAAAAAGGAGGGAAGGGAAGGAAAGAGGAGGGAGTAGGGGACAGACTGAGTAATAGGCCCAGAGGAGGGTTAATGGTCATGAAAAGTCTAGCATTCTAATGTTTTACCCTCCAGCACCTGACGTCTTTCCCATTCTCCAGTTGCATCCTAATCCCTGTCCTGTGACCAACTCTCCAGTGTTCTTCCAGGGAGACTTTTGTTCCTGCTTGGAGCCTGGTTCACACTGCATATCTCTCACTCCACCATTAGAGATGGAGCCCATTCACCACCATGGACCTCATCCAAAGCAGGGCCAACTCTCATTTCCCTAGAGAACCTCACCTGCTAAAGATCATCCCAGGGAGTGAGTCAGATCCAGCACTGGAACATTGGTCTCTGTGATGAGGTACCATCTGATATGGTTTACTGGGTTAAACCGTGGTAGAACCTGCCCTTTGAAGATGATCGATAGGAACATTCATCTTGTTTCAGACCAAAAAGAGCAAAGAATGAGTCTTGTCAGGAGACTGGAAATTGCCATGTTTACCTATTCACCCATCAGTAGGAATCAGATTCTCATTTGTAGCTGGGAAAATTGAAGCTCAGAGGCTGCTACTCGCTGACTTTTCTAAGGCCATTCAGTTATTATTTTACCAAAAGTTGCTTTCTATGGAATGCTGGCTCTTGAGCAATATGCTAGATAACATGTACCACGTTTAATGCCCTCAACAACCCTCTGAGAAAGTTGGTCTTAATATCTCCATTTCATAATGAGGAAACTGGGGTTCAGTTAAGGAGAATGTTCTGCCATGGTGTTTCTGTCACAGTGCAGGGAACTGTGACAGCTATAATTCGAGGCCACGTGTGAATGCCTTGGCCTCCACCACCACTGCAATCTTGACCTGTGAAGCTGCCATGTATGGACAGAGCATCACGGGCCAGGAATGATACAACATCCTTCACACAAGCCTCTGGACCTAATGTCAGAACAGCTACACATCTGTGGTTCACGGTGCTATATAGTCACACTAATACATGTCTCTACTCTCACAGGAAGAGATAAAGTCAGAAAAAATATGGAAAGAGGTGCTAAAGGGAAGACACAGAGACACATGGGGCATGAAAGAAGACTAGAGGGGAGGCTACAAAGAGGGTGAAGAGGTAGAGGAGTAGGGAAGAAAAAACCACTAAACCAAACTTTGTCCAAAAATGTCATGATACCTAAGACCTTGTATACTAGTTTTGAAAATTAAAATAGAAGAGTTAAGTAATTCAAACAAAGTCATCCTGCAGATCTAATTTGAACTCAGTCAATCTGACTCCATAGCCCATAATGCAAACCCATAGTGTACCCTAATATTTGTTCTCACCGAGTTTTCTGTTTGAGAATAATTGAGGATGGAAGTAAGCATACAGTACATGAACATGTCAACAATCATTAAAGAAACCCATGAGCTAGGGAGATGCTTCAGCTGACCAAAATGCTTGCTGTGCAATTGTGACAAAAGTCTGGAGCACAGATCCTCAGAACCCTTGTGCTTGGTAGATGAGCACAGGAGACTATATGTAATTCTAGGTGGAGACAGGAAACTCACCAGAACAAGCTGTCTAGCTAGACTAGCCAAATCTGTGAGATCTGGGGTCAATTAAGAGACCTTGCCTCAGTGAGTTAAGTGAAGAGTGATCAAGGAAGATTCCCAACAATTTTAGGCATACATGCACCCAACCCACATTCAAATACACACACACACACACACTAATATTTGTCTCATGATATTAGTCTACAATAGTGAATGCTTGTTTCCTTCCCATTTTTTGGAATGTCTTCTGTCACAACCCACAAGTTGAGAACCGTTGTATCAGGTGGTAATACGTGTATTACACATCTCATTGTATTAGAGTTCTAAAACAGAAAAAGGCTAGGGGCCATGGCCATGGTGAGTATCTGATAGAAGCTGCCTTCTGTGGGATTTGGGCCCTGAGACTACCTGAAGGCCAGCTTCAGAATTTATGCCAACACCACTATAGAGGACAACACGTGTTTAAGGTTGAGCCATCGTCAGTAGGACCTATTGAAGTTACCCAAGTCCATTCTGAGCTTACAACCCACAAAAGAGATCAGCATTTATCGCTGAAGTAAAGGAGACTTGTCTTCAAGAAGCAATGATGTAAGGAAGCATGCTCCTTCCTCTCTGCTTTCTTCCACCTTTCTTCTGATAACCTCCTCCCACTCCTTCACCTTCTTTCCTCCATGTCCCTTGTTCTCTCCTCCTTCCACTGAGAAAACATGGGCTCAGAGAGGCTAATGTGTATTCATAGAATAACCTTCCTCTCTCTATCCTTTTTCCCTTTCTTCCCCAACCCCCACTTCAGAAAGAAAAGTGCGAGGAGGAGATATAAGGCTGCTGAAATGGTGGGTGCCTCTTCTATAGGTTTCACTCCAGCCAATCAAGTTTTCACTCTATATTCTGTGAGGCAAAGGGAATTTTAACATTAACATGAGTTTGAAGGTTTAGAAATGAACAAACATAGTTCTTGATACTTAAAAGAGCTCCCTCAACACCAAAAGTAGCTGCCAGTGCAAGTGTCTTTGGGCTGTGGAGAAAAGAGCCTTCCACTCAGTGAGACAGGAGCAGCAGGCACATCTGGCATCAGTTATGAAGGGAAGTTAAAGATTTCATGTTTACATCACCACCCGTTAAGAATCCTTGTTATTAGTAAATAATGAGAAGGTTGACTAAGCTGATCTTTCTTCTCCACTTCTGAGGTTCCATGATTTATTTATTTATTCAGTGCACATTCAGTGCACTTGTGAGATGATGGAAGGGAATAGTGTCAGCCATTAAGGGAGAGTGCAGTTACCATCCTAGATTATACTAGAAAACAGAGTTGTGGGCAAACCCAATGAACAGAGAAAGGAAGATGAGAAGGCATTTCAGGAAAGTAAACTGAATCGCCTCCCATGTGAAGAACTCAGGCAGAAAACAAAGAGAGAATGTTTCAGAAAATGTTAGGCAGCTACAGCAGAAATCTGTGAAAGAGAATCAGGACCTGGAACTGGTCCTAGCACCTTCCCAGACCACTAGGAATCTCTTAGATCATTAGCTAGAACCTTTTTGTACTTATTGTTCCACAAACTACTTCCACCAACCAGAGCTTAAGATAGCTCCACCTCTCTCCCATGCCCAAAGTGGAAGAAAAAAATACTCTTAAGTGACTAAAAGAAAAAAGACCATTTTCCTTGTACAGGTGACATTCAGAGAAGACACCTTCTTGCCCAGCAAAGTCTGTTCTCAAAGCTATTACACTTCAGAAATGTCCCAGTGGTTAAGAGCACTCACTGATATTACAGAAAATCTGGAGTCTCACAATCACTTACAAACCCCAGTTCGAGGCGATCCAATGCACACATGCCATAACCATGTAGGCACACAAACATACACATAAATGATTTTAAATATTTATATACAATATTCACATATATGTGTATATACACTTGAAAAAAACTAGAGAAAAAGTCTTAAAGTGCAAACACTGTGTAAAACTTCATAGTGACATGCTTATACTGCAGAAGAGCAAGTCAGAACTCAGAGAAGTCATCAACTACAGAT